AGAGAACTGTGTAGACTGAATAGAGATGAATGAATATTTAAATGCAGGAATATGACGCCACTCACCTAATCTCAAAGTTTCGTGATGTGTCTGCCACCATTTTAATTGATCAGGTGAGAAAGCATTGTCTCCCTTTTAAATTTCATCAGATGCTAGGCATAATATGATTTATTTATTGGAATCTCATTCTTTTCTTGTTATTTTTGAAAATTTTTTCTAGGCAAATTTAAGTTTTAAGTCAACTTATACATACCACCTTGTACCTATTTAAGAGGGATGTATTTTTGCAGTTTCCTATATAAATGGCCTCAGATAATTAGCAGTCTTTGAAATCACTAATTTTTTATTGTTATCCCCATAATTTAGATTTCAGTTCTCTAGTAGTTGGTATTGTTGGAAACCTGAAACTTGATAGAGGGTTTAGTTTAGTAGAAGAGAATCGTATGAACTACATTATAGGAATCTTCTTCAACTTAAGGAGCTAGCGGAATCAAGAAAACCTGTCTGGTTTCAATAAACACAAGCGTCTTTTTTCATTTCTTTTCTTTTTTTTTTCTGATTTGCATTCATGCAGGGGGAGGATGACAAATTTTTGCATGATCAGTTGCTGCCACACGAGTTTGAGGAGGCATGTAGGAGTGCTAATGTTCCATTGTTATTGAGATTGCAGCCTGGTTATGATCACTCCTACTTCTTCATTGCCACCTTTATTGAGGATCACATCCGCCACCATGCTCAGGCTCTCAACCTCTGAAGTCTTGAGATTTTCTGCCCTTCTAAAATCTAGATGCCAAGAAATCCTTTGTATTAGCTATGAACAGTTTTTCTGCTAAAACCTGTGTCTACCTATCTGGTATCTACTGGTGTGACAAAGTACTTAAGATATTGCAAATAACATTTCCGGGTGAATATGGTTTGTATTAATCATGCTGTTTGTGGCATCTTGAAATGGAAGGACAGAATAATCAATTTACATATTTTGGTGATGTTGAATTTAGGTGTTGTGTTGCCTCACCCATAGCGGGGATGACTTGGGTTTATGCAATTTAAAGTGTTCTTTACAAACTTCAGTCAACATTTTTACTTAAATCAAATGCAAAACGCAAATTATTGAGCAAGAACTATGGAGTGTGGAATATCTAGTTCATCCCGAGCTCCTGCCTACTGCCCACTTGTCTTAGGATAATGGGTTATATCTTGAGTGGGAAAATATCGAAGATAAGATAAAAAAAAATAAAAAAATTAGGAGTTGATTTCTAATAAAACAGATAGATCCTAAATTTAAGTCTTCAAAGTATATGAGTAGGATTTAAACAAAATTACAATGATGGTTTTCAAACCCTAAAGCCGATTACAATTCCATCTAATTCAATGTTGCCCATCTTTGAATTTAAATTTAAAATCTCTAACATAATAACTCAATTTTAGTTATGGAGAAGTCCTTACCCTAAGTTCTCACATGTACTCTATTTAATCTCCTTCCAATCCAACTTGAAAGGGATAGAATATGTTTGGGCACAACACAGCTGTTTCAAAGGCAAAATATTCAAAGAATTAAGCTCATCCAATTCCGAGGTTTGAATCTCTCAATTGGAGGATAGAGTCCAACTTTCTTCTTATTCTTAGAAATTTTCATTATGTCTTCAAGACATTCTCAACATTGGTTTTTTTAACATAAATTTTGATCTCCACTTCCAAAACGTTGCTCTCATAGTTTTGATCATCACCAAAATCAAATCTAAAACCTAACATGAACAGTATCATTTTTGTTGGTAAGTTAATGGATTTCCTGGCATCTTACACATTTAGAAACAGGCATCAGGAAGGCCAAGAAACAGTAATTACGTCAAAATATGTTATTACTGGATTTAATTTCTGAACCAAGGTTTCTTACATGAATTTGACCATTCACCATGTTGTGCCTATATATTACCCAGATTATGTAGGCTACCACCCACCATATGTAGAATCCAAAAATCATATTTACACACTATGGCCATGCTATGAATGGACTTCCCTAACCGCCTCCAGCTCCAGCAATTTCAGTGAGGTGTACCGGGGTGCCAGGGCTCTGTTGAAAAGATGAATGGTTGGCATCTCCCCTGACTGGGACAGGCACAGCCTTCAGCCTTCAGTCTTCGGCCTCCAGTGTAGCTCCAAAATCACCAGGACTAAACTCATGCCCCGGTGGTAATTGAGTCTGTTGAGAAACCTCTGAGGCTGCAGAAGTAAATGCTGGTTCAAGAGTTTCATTTACACTCTTCTTTGGCCTCTTAGGTCTCTTGGGTTTCTCAAATTGAGAGTCATCCATCTCATAATCCATGGCTTCCCCTGCTTTCTGAGAGTTCCTAAGCTTTGAAGCAGATGGCCTATCGGAAGCACCTTTCCTCTGCACAGAACACTTTGTGAGAAGAAACTTCAAGTGAAAAATTTCATCATAATTTCAGTTTGATGAACTCCATTACCTTCTTACTGCTCGATTTTACTTTATCTGGATCTGGAGAAGGCTCAGATCCATTACCCTGAGCTCCATTATTTGTGAAGTCTTCCATACTTGCATCACCTTCGGCATCTATTCGTATACCCCTTGTTGGCTGTTTCTTCTTTTGTTTATCCTTACCCTGGAGGAAATATACATTTAGAAACAAGTAGAGAAATTTTTTTTTTTAATTATCTTTTAAAGTTGGAAGAAGAGGAAAGAATTTGTACCCAACAAAAGATAACCAGATTTAAAACTCACCTGAAGTGGATTTTCCTTTAGTTTCTGCTCCAATTGTGCATCATCTAGAAGTAATGAAACAACATCCTCAGGGGCCAAGATATCTCCCTGTACATGACCACCTGTCATGACAAGCTGCTGAACAGTATTTTTCTGACTTGCTCTCTGCAGAATCTTTTCCTCAACAGTTTCTTTACAAATGAGCCGGTAGACAGTAACCTAAAGCATACATTTAAGAACATTAGCTTTGTAGTTTCAATTGACAAACCAAACCAAACCAAACCAAACTAAGCAAAGATGAGTCTATATCTGTCAAAGAAAAGGTGATAAAAAAAAAACAGTTTTCTGCAGAAGGGCTGAAAGAAATTGGAAATGTGAACAATTCACAAGTAGAGATGCCAATAAGAAAGCAGGAACTCACGTCCTTCGTCTGACCCAATCGGTGAGCTCTATCCATTGCCTGCAAATCCAAGGTTGGGTTCCAATCACTTTCATAAAAGATTACAGTGTCTGCAGCTGTCAAATTAATACCCAGTCCACCAGCTCTAGTACTCAGCAAGAACACAAAAATATCACTCCTGCAACCCAGGAAAAAGAAAATATAGAATTGGTTAATTAACTGCAATAGCCCATGGGTCTTCAAAAGAAGTATCACACATAAAACCATATCCCTACCGAAGCTGAAAGTCTCTAACCATGTCCCGACGATCCATAATTGTGGAGGAGCCATCAAGCCTCAGGTACCTATATTTTCTATAGTTCATATAGTCCTGAACAAGATACACAACAGTCAGAACATATGTTATTGCGTAGAAAAATATGTATTAATGTGTCAATGCTTTGACATAACAATTAGAGTCAAACAGAGCAACAAATTTTCTAGATACAGAACATGGTTACTTGTGGTTTTATAATTTTGAAGTAGTTTTATAATTTGATCACAATATCCTACTTGAGAGAAGACTATGCTAGGGTATTCATATGTTTGCAGCAAAACTCAACTAGTAAAATGACTTGCAAGTTACAACAATAATCTCCCAAATTCAGAGAAAGAAAATCAATTATGCAGGCAACCCGTATTCAATTGAAATGTTGATATAGCTATGTGTCATCTTGTAGGTTCAGACATTGCAAGTGAAAACCCCCCTAATCTCAAATGTACAACTCAAGTAATACAGGTAGCCGTCGTATGCTGTCCATAACTTTTGTTTATCAAATTTCTAATCATTTTTGGGGCCAGCTAGGCTTACCATATATACCATCAATGACTGAATGCAAATAGCTATACAGAACTAGAGTTGTAAACTACAACAGAAAATGCAGAATAGGAAAAAAAATACAGTTGAGAAATAATTACCTCAAGAATGTTAAGCATTTTTGTCATCTGTGCGAACAAAAGAACACGATGATTTTCTGCTCGGAGGCGTTTCAACAATATATCAAGTGTTTGAAGCTTTCCAGAGTCCTAACAAGAAATATAGTACATTCAAATTTAATGTCAGATAAATGATCATCAAATAATTGACAACCCGAACAGAAACTAGGAAGAGAAATATTATTACAGTGAGCAATTTTGCTGGGTCAAAACTTTGCATTGGTGGACAAGACCCAAATATCTCGTAAGTCAACTGGAGGGCAGGTTGCACTACTGGTAGTTCAGAATCAATTTCTTGAATTAAATGATGAGGACCCACAGGCTTTCTGGGTCCATTATATTCAGATGTACGTGCAAACCCAACCAACAACCTCTTAACCCAAGGATTATGCACTTCTTCAGTCATTTTGTAAGCAAAGCTTCTATCCGAACATTGGGCAATTATCTATAAAGGATAAGATTGTTATGGTCAATGAATTATTCAGCAAGCAGAAAAGCAATTCCTCATAATAAATAAAGAATGGAACAAAAAGAACATACTGGAGGAGCTCTCGTTCGTGGGATGAATGTATAGGTTGAATGAAGAAGTTTGGTGTTGGATAGTAGCCTATCCTGATGAGAGACAACTAAAGCCTCAAATGGGGAATGGCCAGGACCTGTGGCAAATCTTGTTCTAAGCAAATTTGTCTCAGCTTTTGATGGCATCAACAGCATTCGTGTGACAGCCCTTACTGTTCCTCCATCAAGATAATTACAGTTTGGATCATCATCCATTACTTCCATAAGTGAGTCAAAGATTCCATCCAAAAATTGTTTGTCCCACCTTAAAATAGAACATAGTAGTCTCTCCATAAAAGAAGCAGTTGCAAGAAATGCAACCTCAGCAGCAGACAAATCCATCAAATGAGTAAAACCAAATGTCCCACTTTTGACATATGATCCATCTAAGCTATTCTCCTGAGTAAGTGTAGAGCGATAAACATTTTCTGGGGAAAATATGTTAAAGCATTTATGAAACAATTCTTTGCTAACTCCACGGGTAGTTGCTGAGCAAAGTGTTTCAGAACTTTGGAGAACCTCCTGGTGAAGTAGCTTTGGTATCTGGAAAAGAAAGAAGAGGGGGAGTTAGGCACTTTGAGTAGTTCATAATGGGAACTATTGATCAACTAAAAGAAGTACCTTTTGTATTATAGGATTCTGACTCCCAGAATAGCGTATATCCTCCAACTCCCCAAAGGCAGGGGGCAGAAGAGAATTTGAGATCTCTCCAAAAAAGAGATATGTGCTTCCTTCATTCCTTTCAAACAACTCTGGATGGTTGCAAACCTATTGTCGCATAAGCAAAACTCTTAATAATTTATAACACAAAGAAACTGCATCATAAACATATATTTACTAATCACATATTTCAAATAACAAAAAGTATTCTAATGGAATCGATACCTGCCTTTCTTAGTTGAATCACAATGTTCATCAAATTCATAATTTTCTTTTCACTAAGATGCCCATGATTGTTATCAAACAATTCAGCTAGAGATATCTTATTCTTAATAGCTTGATAGAAAGCTTGCTGCCGGGAACTCAACTGGCAGTGAACTGTTATCTCTGTTTTCCTAGTCAGCTCTGAAATCACATCTTTCTTAACCCGTCGTAGCATGAAGGGCTTCAAAATAGCATGCTGTTGAAAGGAAATACAAGATGATGGCTGAGGAACTTATAATTTTAGAAAAACCACAAGAAAGCAGTAACAATACAGGTTTTCTTTCTAGCAGCAAAAACAATTCTTTATTTATTTATTTATTTATTATTATTATTACTGATTGGAAACAGCAGAAACAATTCTTAGTAATGGTGACTATGACTGATAAAAAAAAAAATTGGTGACTATTAACTTCAAGACAATTGGCCTGGTAGTCAACATGATAAGGGAGAATTTTTTTAGTAAAAAAAAATATTTATATTACATCATTTTCCTCTGAAGCAATTTACAGATATTGGAGATCTTAAAATAATGTGTTTATTAGGATATTAATATTTCCAAGCAGGAAGGCAGACTAATGATATGACATCACAAGCAAACCACTCCCAAGCAGCGACTTATGAATGATCCTGGGAAGAAAATAGCACTTACCAATCTGTTAAGCTGGTGTTCATTCAAAGTACCCCCATGTTCAGCATGGTTTTCAATTCTGATGAAAAAAATGAAAGACTATTAATAAGGCAAAAACTTTCTTTCTTCCATTTCATCCGATGTGAAGAACATAGGTTGCATGAATCCATACCCTTTAGAAAACCATTCATTGAATTGTTCGTGGCTATCAAATAAGGTTGGCATAATGAAATGCAGAAGGGCCCACAATTCAGCCATGTTATTCTGAATAGGTGTACCAGTCAGAAGCAAGCGGTTCCGACAGTTGAAACTAAGCAGTGTCTTCCACCTTATGCTGCAAAATAAACATCAAATTATATGAGAAATAGAAATCGAGGATTTAGGGGGAAAAAAAAAAAAAGACTCTGATGATTATATGTCATACCCCTTCCACAGCATACAAATTTCAATAGCAAAATATTTTAAAAATATAATAGTAACATGATATGCAATTATTAGTGCAAATTTCACAAGTGAACAAAGAGCACTCTACAACAAGCAGGATGTAAGTCAATAAACAGTAAATGAGTATGGAAACAACTAGAGGACCATTCTGTTTAATCCATGTAAGATATTTTCCTCAAGCAGCACCATAAAATTTCACCAGATAGGTCCTCTCATATACTTCATTTTTGACATCACCATATGCATTCAGTGGGCGTTCCAGAATTGAAATGACTGACTCAAACAAGAAACATGGTCATCCAGGACGTAAAAAGTTGCCAGAATTAAATATTAAATATCTGATAAACATAACCTCTCAACAATCATGAAGATAAGCTTAGAACCTGCTTGAACTTTTGATTGCCTGTGCCTCATCTAATACCATGTATTGCCATTTCACACGTCGAAAATACTTCTCATCAGACACTAGTAGTTGATAGCTGGTAATTAGAATGTGAAATCCTGCCTCCCTGGACAAGTGGAAAACAAATTTATAATTAGAGATGATATAACAAGTAACCAGAGAAGTGAAACAATGCTACATTGCTACAAGAAATCTCCAAGAAACACAAGAAAACTGAACCAAGGTTCAATTTGGAGGAAAATAAGTATGCCTGTCAACTTTAAGGTTGCCTCCAAATATGCAAGTAATACACACTTTTTCCCATCACTTAAGTCTTAAGATACTTTCACAAACCAATATTCTGGTAGACTAATAAACAATCCAAAAGATGACCACAAAAAATTTTGAAAGCAGTAAAGATGCCCTTGGATGCAATGCAATTAGCATGAAACAATTTTCCTTTTTTTAAAAAGAAAGCTGTATCATCTCAGATTTATGAGCATACTAGCATGGAAGGAGCAATATCAAGCAAAAAATATCCACATCACTTTACAACTGGAAGATATCCTTGCTTATCACATCAGGTTTGATTAATTATCAGCATGAAAACAGCAAGAACGCATTTAGTTCTAGGTGGCAGCCACTATTTCAATCATATTTTATTTAAGAAAAAGGCCTTAAATGAATGTCAATTACCTTCGATAAAGACGCTTTGGATTGATTTTCTTCCTAAGTATTGCTCGCTCTTGAAGTCCACCCCAATATGGAAGAGTTTTTAGGTCAGGGCAGAAACGGCCAATTTCATCAACCCAGTTATTCAAGACAGAAGCTGGTGCAACAACAAGAAAAGGCCCCCATATGTCTTTCTCCTGTGTTCAAAAACAAAGTGAGTTAATAGAAAAGAAAATCTATCAATAAAAACGCCACCTATAGTAATTACCTCAGCCAAATGAGCCAAGAATGCCATTGCTTGAATGGTCTTTCCAAGACCCATCTCATCAGCAAGAATACCATTTAAGCCCTGGGAGACAACAAAGAAGCATCCATTTGAAAATTTTGAGAAAAGAAATTCAACAAAAAATTTCTTTATTTTAAAGAAAAGAAAAAAATTATATTCACCCAGGAATTGCCATACAACCTGCTCATAACAATTAACAAGCCACTGAAGACCCTTTAACTGATATTCTTTGAGTGAACCTTTAAACATTTCTGGTGTCTGGACTGTTGAAGTTGCTGGCATGGTTGAGCTGCATGCGTTGACCAAAGGTGCATGGCCAAGTAAATGTTAACCCTTTAAATGGGGAAAAAAAACGCCAGTAACATTTAGGTTAAATCAAAAGACAAGTACAAAGGAAAGCAGAACTCACGGGTTATGTAGATCTATATCACTTGACCCTGCAAGTGATGTATCATATGGAGGAGAATCATGATCAGCAGATTGTCGAAGCTTCAAACATTCAGTATCAAATGCACTAGTCAACTTTTTCTGCTTAGAGACAGCATTTTGAGCAGCCCGCAAAGCCTCCTTTTTTAGTTCTGCCTCTTCAAGATCCTCTTCCTCACCAGGTTCAGTAGCCAAACCACTCAAAGGGGCTTCTTCCTCATTTGGTTTTACATCTTCCATAGGCAAGGCTTCAGAGGGCTGAGAATTTGCTTTCTTCTGCATAAAATGACTATAAAGTTCTGTTTGTTGTATAAGAAAATTGAGTCTTTGCTGCTGTCTCTTTGCTTCTCGGAGCTCTTGTTCACGCCTTAAAGCTTCTGCAGCTTCTTTCTCCTCCTTTTTCCTCACCTCGGCCTGCAAGAAAAGGGATTTTAAATAACAGAAGTACAGTTTAAGTTATCAAAGCAAAGAAGAAAAAAGAGAGAGAAAGATGAACAATAATGTTGAAATATCATACAAGAGTTACTCCAACTACAAAATAAAGGTTTGTATCATGAAATATGCCAAATAAACTAGCAGCCGCCTTAGTAACTGCTACATCAACATGAAACACCCAATTTTAAGCAGTTGCAATTTCTATCTCTCAGACACAATTATGATATGATAGATTCTCAATTACCTTAGATCTGGAAACAAATTCACAGAGCTACAAAGTGCAACTGCTTATGGATGATGCATTAATGAATGCAACACATAAGAATACCAAGACGCTTTAGCAGATAGACACACATGTATAGAGAGATAAAGGGAACATGAGTGCATTCAATATTTTCCTTTGTGAAAGATGACAACATTCCAAATAATTTCAAAGTCCAAGACACAAAACTAAAGAGAAATGATACCATCTCCTTGTCAACTCGCTTCCAAAACAGCAGCATGTCTCTGGCCAATTTCCTTGTGCGTATGCCAGCACCTCTCATTAATTTCTGTGATCTAATCACCTTCGCTCTTACCTGGTAGAGAAATTGAAGTATGATTAAATCTTCAAAATAAAAGATTATAATGGCCCTACATTTTTTATGAATCACTTGAAATTTCAAAAAAAAAAAGAAAAGAAAAAAAGAAAAAAAGAGGACAGTAGAGAAAAAATTCAATCCACGTGCCTCTCTTTGACAATTTTCAGAGAACCTCTTGGCATCAATCAGCTGCTTGCGGTGAAAAGTAGTGAATATTCTATGATGCTTTGGTATGTCTCTTCGAACAATGCTAACCCAAACTTTTCCTATTTTATCCATTTCTTCCCTCTCGATAACAGAGGGATCTTTCTTCACTTTTGGTTTCTTTGGGAGGCTTCGTTCAATGATCTGCAGCCAGGAAAACCAAATTTATTTAAATAAAATTGCAATCACCAATGAAATATCAAAACATAGACTTCAATGTGAACTTGCCTCATATGTCTCTCCTTTCTCCAAAACCTTCACATAATAAACCTGCAATGCACCACCCTCTGACAAAATAGACCGCTGTATATTTCCAGCAGCCCCTTCCGGAATGGAAGATTTCAATGCACTTTCAGATATCTTGAGACTAAACTTCTGAGCTGAGTTGGAAGCTGCCAGAGCCTTCAATCTTGCTTGAAGTGATTCGTACTGGGGTCGTGGCTCTCCTATCCCTGATCTGCTTACAGGCCCGAACCTCTTATCACCAGCCATCATTGCTGCTAAGGACCCCAAATCCAAGGTCCCCTTTAAGTAAGTTTCATCCACTCGCATATCTGAGAAGCTTGGCAGGTTCAGTGATGCTGCCAGCTTCTCATAAGTAGGGGGGATCTTATACGTGATGCCCTCACCAATATCCAAAAAAGAAGGTTCATAAATCATTCTGCAGAGCATGCATGAATAAGTTAATAGGAGCAATAACTTATATTCTACTAAAAATGAAAAGCTGAAGAAAATAAGAAAAATAAAGATTCTACATCTCCATTGAAAAGAAACCAAGAGAAAGAGCAAAAGAATTGTTTTCTTACTTCGGTACAAAATCTGCTTCATGATAGTTGCTGAGCCTCTGAGGACTAACATCATTAAGCAAGTCAGGAGCAGTCTCCATGTCATAGAACCCCTGTCTTTGGTCATTTCCCAGTTTCCTGATTCTTGAACTACCCAAACTATTCTTTGGAGCTGGTATCCCCATCCGAGGAGGTGCAGCATTCACTGTGGAATTCTTCAATCTCCTCTTGTATTTCTGCACGTGTTCCCCCAGCATTGATCGATACCACTCCTCAGTGATGTGTGCCCCGTGGCTGTGGTAATCCTCTTCCTCGTCGTCACTATTATAAGACCTTCTGTTCCTCTTACCCAAGCTCAATTCCCTCTCAGACATAGTCCCATTACCATGGTTTGTCATTGCTCCACCTACTTAAAATCAACCAATCCACAGACAATGTACATTCACTTAGTTGAATTCTCTCTAGACCAACCCCTTGGATCACTAAAAATCTATAAGAATGCACAACTAAGATGCATAAAATCCGAAAGGCTCCTTAGCTTCAATTCAAGGAATTCAAAAACAATGCCTACCTTGGCTACCTCTGCTCTCATCCTGACTACTATTCCCATAATAATCAAAATCATCATCTTGTTGTGGAAGTTTGAAGTTCATCAAAGACTACAATGCACACCCAAAAAGACAAAAAAAAAACAAAAAAATTTTACAAAGTCCATTCCACCATAAAAAAAATTTGCTTAAAACCAAATAAATAACCAAATGATAACAATTCAACAAAACCCAAAAAAAACCCCAATAAAATAAATCCACACAAAATGCAGAAACACAAAACAAAACAACCCCAACAAAACTCTACCATCCACACCCACTCAAAATTGAGAAAAAAAATAAAGCGACCCATTTAAGACGAGCAAAAACCCATTTACATACCTCAAGATTGAAGAGCTTTGAATACGAAAGCGAGTCCCTTGATTGCCTCCTCGGGTCCATGAAAATACACAGAAACGAACCCAGAGAAGCAAAACCCTATGTGTGAAAAGAACATGGAAATTTGGGTTTCCCTACCAAAATAAGAGGAAAAGAAAACCCTAGTTCGAGACGAAAGAGAGATAATGGAGAAAGGGGGAAAGCGCGAGGAGGGTGGTGCGTACGATAAGGTCGGCTGTAAGATTGTGAGAAAGAGGGAGAGTAGACGCAGACGGTGTAGGAAACATCGGGGCTCACTAACGTGCGCCATTTGTCTAACATTCGTTAACGTGCACTGTTTTTTTTTTTTTTCCAACTATTTTAGAGACAAAGCTAAAAAAAAAAAATTGTTTTTAAGGGGCAAAGGGATAGATGGGAGACTTTCGCTGCTCCAAGAA